GGCTCTCGAGAAAGATTTCGGGCCTTAAAGCTGGGGCCCGATCTCGACGGGACGGACGGGCCCCGTCCGAGGCTTCCGCGGAACTGCGACCCGGCTCTCGTGCATATGCATACGCAAGAGCCGCGGATTTGCATTCTAATTGTCGGGCGATCCGACAAACGCGCCATTATGGCTCCACTCGGAATCGTATGAGCCGGCTGGCAGTTGAGAAGGAAGAGGAGGAGGAGTGGACGCGAGAGAAGGTGGCGGAGGACGAGGGTGAGGGAGGAAAGAGGCTTCTGCGTCACAAAACGAGGTGCCAAAGAGCCCTCAGAGCGCACGGGAACGGTCAATAATCGCGAAAGTAAGGACCTCTTTATCTTATCTATTCCGCCGGTCTCGCGAAGGCGACTCCGATGTGTCCGTAATACGCATAAGTATACGCGTTATCGCGACGAAATGGAGACGAGGATGCGGGCGTACCGCGACGACGACGACGACAACGACAATGACGCCGCCACCGCCGGCCGTTACGGATCCTACTTATGTCGGGATTAAATTCGCGTGACCGAACGGTCGGCGCATTTTATTCGCGGTGATATCTCCTGAGACGGGACGCACATATCTGTTTCATTAATACAAATTATAATCGAACGTTCATTAAAAATTCAAATGTGACAGAAGGCGAGGTAGCGGTCGCGTGGCAATTAATGCTCATTTAAAGACGCAAGAAGCGCACGTGTATGTGTATTAAATTGGAACGTCGAGGAGGAAGACGTTTTATATGTGTGATGATAAAGAAAAAAAAGAGAAAAAGTATTTATTTCAGTTTCATATTAGAATATAAAAACCTTTAAGAACTGAAGCTGGTTAAAGCGTATGATTAATGTGTAAAAGAATTACACGAAAAATAATTTCGCATATTTATGATTTATGCTTTTATAATTTAAATTGATGCACTTGGTGCACTTTGAGGAAACCAATTAACAATATAAATCAGTATAGATATCTATTAGTGGATTTTCTTTTTTTTTAGTTATATATGTATATGTAGCGCACATATATGTAATTACACCTAAGTAGACATGTAAGCAAAAGAATGAAGAAAAACCACGAAAAGAAGCTAATAGAAGAAAATTCAAATAGAAGAATAGAAAGTAAATAAAATATATAATATAATAGGCAAAAATCTTAATTTGATGGAGATCTTACACACCATGAGGGGGGAAACAGAAAGAGAACGGCAATATCTGCGCAACTTAAGTTTATCTTACTGACATGGCATCACCGAAATCGCCGCGATTACGTCCGAGCCGGTCGGTCTCGCGGCGTCCAATAAAGTATAAGACACGCATCGTAAACCGCGCGACTCGCCCCCAAATTTAATCCCAACGTTCTCGCGTCGACTACCGAATTTTTTAATTAACCGCCCATCCGCGCGCGCATGATTTACCGCGGCGCTCGACGATTCAGCGGCGCGTCGCTCGTGATCGTATTTTTATAAGGACGAACGGCGCGAAATTAATTTCCTTCCGACGCGACGCGTCGGCGCGAGATTAATCTCGCGCGGATCGCCGAACGCGAACGCGCGTATTAAATTATTAAGTACGCCCCTCCCTCTCGGCTTTCTCACGTTCGCTCGTCTCATCATGCCGTGACTGCGGAAAATAAACTGGGTGCCCACGTGTGCGCGGAATATCTCCACAGTTGTGTTCGGATTAAAAGAAGAAAAAAAAACAATCTCGAGTGCACAAAAAGCACTTCAACTGTGGAAGGTATTCAACCCTTTCGCTACCAACGGGACATACATGTCTCACGATATATGTTTCCATCACCATTGATAATTATTCGAAACCTTATTTAAAACCTTATTCGATTGAACAAACAGCTTTTTTGATATTGAGAAAATTACTCTATTACTCTACTTATTATCGTTGAGACAAATTCATTCCCCTAAAAATAAAAAAAAAAATAAAAAAGTGGAACATCAGTGTCCCGACTTTATCCCTTTGGCATAAACATAAAATTTTTAACTTATTTTTCCTAAAACTACATTATATATATTAATATATTTAATGAAGTGAAATTAAAACAAAAAAATTTTACGTTTGAGAACCAAAATTAGTAGCGAAAGGATTAAAGACCAAATCAATAAGAATGTTCAGAGTTAGGTGCATATCCAGGTATTGCTGCATCATTTACTCGCTAAATTTCTTCGAGTAAATTCTCACTCAAAACGAACGAAAATTTGCTCCGACTGACAACGAAATTGACACTGCCCAGCATTAATATTTCTACTTTACGCATGCCACAACGGAAATCATCGATCGACACTTCCCTGGCGCTTTCTGGCATCCGCGAGCTTAATCGCCCGAGTATGCCGTCCGTAATCCAACGATCGATGCACGATCCGAACACCGTCCATCTAAAGCTTCGTGCGCCCATAACGGGCGCTCGTGCCGCGGGCGTTAATGAATACTTAAAGTCACGACCGGTAATTACGCTTTAAACGTCGTAGCTAGATGTCTGACGGCGAGTGCAGGTACGTGTATTTCGTGTACAGCGCGCGCTCGTTCGCATCGAGGGACTCACGTGTACTGCCAGGACGAAAGAAAGCGAAGCCGAGGAGCGCGATCGGGAATGCACAATGGCGAACATTATGCGAGGAGAGGCCGACTGCGTGAGTTAAAACTTAACTCGAGCTTCTACGGCCAACTCTTTCCTTCTCTCTCTCTCTCTCTCTCTCTCTCTCTCATTCTCACTCTCACTCACTCTCTCTTCCACCTCGATTATCTTTTTCTCCCTCGGTCGCGCCTCCTTCTCCCGCGCTTTCTCATCCATTTCGTCGGCCCGCTCTGCACATGTGTGTGCGCGCGCGATCGTAAAAAAATGCAACTAATTAACGACCAAAAAGTGAGGCCAGCAGGAAGGTTTTTGCCGCGACCGCGAGAGAGAAGGTTCGGGCTGTCCGAACCTTCAACTGGAAGTGCTTGACCGTACATCGCGCCTTCTTCTTCGTTTCGCATCTCCGATAACCATCGACCGGCGATCCGTACGAAAACGAGCGCGTTCTCTCGCGACGAGACTCTCCACTTCTCTCTTCAGTTGCGCTTCGTCAAACGGCCAATTCGCGGCCAATCGCCGATAATTACTCGAGAATTGAGACGGAACGCGAGAGAATCGCGAGGTCTCTCTCTCTTCTCTCGATAACTGCAAGATCGCGCGCTGATTGACACGCAACGTCGGCGATGACGTGTTCGCGTCTCGTCGGGATCAGCGTATCCATAAATTTCACGTGGCTCTTACACGATCGGATGATTGACGTCAGATCACACGCCGTCGACGTGAAATGATCTGATCGGGCGGTAATGAAGTATTAATGAGACGACTGCAACGATATCTCCACCTCCATTTCGCGGAGATAGATCGCGCGAGTTTTTGCAGCCAGGGGATTAATGACAGTCGCACGGAGTTGTTGAGGACTATACCCCGCGGTAAGGTAGATGAGTGCCACTCGTGCGAGATTGTTATTACCCGTACGTCGTTTGTATCCTCGGTTTCCTATTCTTCGCGATTAACCAACAGCGCCACACGTCGTTACCCGGTTTGCTGCGGCGAAAAGCAATATAAGGCATTAATATTTATGGGCTACCATTCCCGCGAGCATCGGATTTTACCATCTATGCATTAAATACAGCGTTAATGACTGCTGGAGTAAGTACAGTGTATAACGAGTGTAAAATGCACGTAACGAGCGCGGCATAATTAATCCGCGCTAACGTCGAGAAAGAAAGAGAGGGAGAAGGAGAGAGAGAGAGAGAGAGTAAGAAAGAAAGAGGCACCATTAGTTTGAGAAGAGATAGGAGTAAATCGGCATTTTCGAAGACTAAGCGCATTCCGAATTAGCCGTATACACGCCGACGTTGACTCTCGCTCGAGTAAAGTGAGCAACTTTGTTGCAAAAGGAAGAAAGAAACAAGTAAAAAGAAAAACACAGCGTATAAAGAAGAAGGGATCGTCGCCGCCGCCGCCGACGACGACGGCGGCGGCGGCGGCGGAGGCGGCGCGATAATGCGGTTAACGACAGATCTGCGAGCGGGCCCGATCTCGTCGTCGAGAGCGCGCCATCCGCGCGCGCGCGCGATCCGCCTCGCCTGCAATCTAATTAATCTAATTAAACCGAAGCGTCTCGTTATTGCGCGCGGCGCGCGCGCGCCATACGCGCAAGAGGGAATTAAGGGGAAGAAGAAACATAAGAGAGTGGCCATTGCGCGCTCGTAACAGATCGGTAACGCAAGATCGTCTCACCGATCCCCCGTCGTTCAAACCGTGTCGCCGACAGCCAACGAGATCCATTAAGAGGATTATTATCGAATCGAGCGATCGCCGTTCCCTCTCGCTTAAAACCCGACTCAAAGTGCGTCTCTTTCTTTCTTGCTTTCTTTTTTCTCTTCTCTCTCTCTCTCTCTCTCTCTCTCTCTCTCTCTCTCTCTGTCTCTGTTTCTCCGCTACATTCTGCGGACGATATCCGAATTTAATCGCGCTTAATTTATTCGAGCCCGCGGACGAGCATTTGACGAAATAAAAATAAGCTGGAATTCGATCGCGCGGATCCGGGGAACAAATTTCTTTTACGATCGTCCGGCTTGGCGCGATTCGGTGCCCCGGCCTCTTAACAGTGAACATTCTTTTTAATTACAACCGTATCGCGCATTCACACGTGCGTGCGTTTCGTGTTGGGCAATCTTGTGTCGTGGCACGAACGTTACATGAGCGAGAGCCGACCGATCATGTTCGTTCGTACGTCTGTTCGAGTTTTCTCGACCGAGAGTCGATCACGACGGAGCAAACCCTCAAATCTATCTACTTCTCGTGCACGGGAGATTACCGGTTCTAACCAACCGCTTCGTTAATTGCAATAATTAAGCCGCGGAATGGATGGCGCGGGAGATGTTCGTTTCTGTTACGCTTACCAGCGATGCTGCTTGGCTATGCGTTATCCAAAAGAAAGATCCACTTACCCATAGCATCTGAAACAAAAACGGAGACATGATTTTAGTGAACGTCGCTGAAGTATAAGAATAACGATCTATTTTGTTGCCTCAGTGTGCAGTGTCGAGTATTAGCCGGTTGAAATTTCCTTTGTCTAAGATATAATCGGCCAGTCAATAACTAAAATTAATCAACCGCGTCACATATAAAATCACGAATAATTTCGTCTATTGATCGATGTAATTAATTACTAATCAAGCTCTGCTGTGATTGATTCTACACTGATCAATAATTGATCTCCTCAATTAATGAAATTATTTGTGACTTTACACATGACGATATTAATTAATTTTGATTATTGATTCGTTGATTATTATTATAAACTTTAAAAATCTTCCTCGATCAGTGCCCAACATTGCCTCAGTAATGAACCCGATCAAACATTCACGCTGATCTTTATTCAATCGATCACAAATATCGATAGCAAAATTTTCTCTACGGACAAATATCCGTCCAGATTAAGAATATCCGTAGGTTATATACGACTGTCGTATGGAAGATAAACTCGGAGATATCTTGGTCGCAAGGTATCGACCTAATGACACGGGTTTCGCCTTTCCGCCTCGTCATCGTCCCTAAATTCCGCGCGGTGTACGGCGCGGTTCACGGCGTGGAGTCCTCCCTTTCTCCCTCCCTCCCACTCTCGGTAAGAACGACTTTATGTGCAGCGCGCACTGCAAGGCAACCGTGTGCGCGCGAGCGCACGGCTAATTCTGCACTAATTGCCCGACGGCGTTAAAGAGCGTTTCAGTAAGGGGAAAAAAGTCGCTTCTCCCGCGCAAAGGAGGATCAAGGGCGTGAATGGCGTTTTTCTTCTCTCCCCGACCCGTGATTTCATGCGATCACAGATGAAAGTCGAAATGATTACCGCGCATACACTTTGTCCGACGGGTAAGGAGGCGGGGGAGGAGGGAAGGAGTAAGGACGGGAGAGGGACATTGAAGTGGTCCAGAGTGTGTTTCTTCCAGGTCGATCGGTCGATACCTCGACGGTGGTCGCTGGAGCGGCGCGCACAGCGCGTAATTCAGATCGTTTTTCTATTAAATAAAGAATCGGCGCTCTCTAATTGCCTTATTGTGAGCGCGCGAGTCACGTAAGGCATAGCCGCCGCGATAAATCATAAGCAAAGACCAGCCCCCGACATGGAGCGGCTCAGAACGACTGAATGAAACCTTGCGAAACAAACGAGCGCCGTGCTCCGTGCCGCCGACTAGTAATATCCATTCTTACTAATCACTGCTCGAAATATCGGCACGACGGCGTTGCAAGGGAGACCTCGCGTCAGCTGCAAGCCGCGAGAGCAGAAGCGAGATAGCCGGCAGGCAACGACGCGACGATTCTGCTACGCGAAATCGACGGGTTTAACCGCGCGCGCGCGCGCGCGCGCGAAAATCACAGAAGCGTCGCCGATGTATGGCCGGCCGGCAAAGCCGCGGCGCTCTCGCGCGAGGCTTTATTTAAACTGGAAGCCCGAACGGTCACTCATAACTCCTCGAGATAATCTCCGCGTGGGCAAGACCCCGGCGGCCTCCTCCACCACCTCCATCTCCTCCGTACGTCTCTCTCGCCCTCGTATCTACCTTCGTCTATCTCTATTTATTATTCTTAGGCGTGTGTCTCCGCGGAGCGAGAGATAGGCTCGTCGTTTGTCCGCTCTCGCAAGCGCACGTGTACGTGCAGCGTGCGCGTACATGCGACGACATGCGGGCGCGTGTTAGTGTAGGTAGAGCATGGGCGAGAGCATTTTTCGCGCACCCCGTCCTCTTCCACGGCCGGCTGGTCGCTCTCGGTTGTTCCGCGAGAGCGAGGCGAACGAGGCGAGCTCGTATACGGGCTGACTAACCCATTAGCGCCTCGGCTGCCGATCGACATGGCGAATCGATCGATAAAAGCCACGGCGAACACTTCCTGCCGATAGGCCGGCCATCGGCAACGCTCCTTTCGCAGCGGCCGATCGACCGGAGAAAGAAAGAACCGCTTCAGCCGCGGTTATCGCGAAATGAGCAACGCCGAGCGCGACGTAGAATCTTGTATCGCGCGGCGTGAATACGGCTGACAATCTGTGTCTCGATTCGAGAGGCCACAAAGCGTGCAACGGTCTGTCACGTCAATCTCAAGGATACAACGAATCGGCCGGGAACGGTGGAAAAGTCGACGTGAGAACCAATTAGTCCTCATTACCGATCCGGTGACTTGCGCGCGCGCCAACGTTATCTTCCTTTCGGGGCGGACAAAAATAGCCTCATCGTTTGAGTAATGACGAAACTTGCGGAACTAGGAGATAAGATTAATTAGTTTTTATTAGTGATTCAGAGAGTTGCACTAAGTGCTGTCAGCGTGTCTCTTTCTTTCTCTCTTTCACTGGGAAGAAAAATAACTTGCTTCGGCTTTAAATAATGACCGAGCTTCTAGAGACGAAACACGCAGAGACGTACATACGTTCAGCTGCTATTCTCGCGGCCCTCGCGAGGATGCCAATAATTCGTCCGTCGTGAAAATAGAAGCGCAGCGGCGGCGATAGGCGGGCGGTTGGTTGGTTGAAGTGTAAACGGAGAAATAACTATAAATTAGCGATTACGGGAATTCGACGCGAGATACGGTGTGGGTGGCGAGCGGAAAAAGGGGTGAGAATTGGCCGCGTATCTGTAGAACGTTACCGGCGAAATACGCGGTGGATGCGATAAATGACGCGATGACAACAGGCGGCCACCATAAATTCGCCTGTAATCGTTGCCGCAGTTGCCAAAGGCGAATCCTCGCCCGAGCGACGCCGGGCGATTCTCGAATCCGCGCGAGCGTCTCGGATCCGACGTCGTTTATCGACACACATCGCTCTCCTGCAAACATCGCCGGGGACAATGGCCTTGCTGCTCCCTCGCGACCCGCCATCCGCGGCACGCGCGCTGAATAAACGAGACATTTCGCGCTCCGCCGCGAAATGCGACATGAATAGACGGTTGCGTTTTATTTGAGAGATTAATCGCTGCTTCGTATCTATATGCCGCCCTCGAGACGCGCGTCTCACTCTGATACACAAACGCGACGCGCCCCGGTCCTAAATAAACGAGCAGAGTGACATAACGTTACTCGGCCGATTAAACGGGTCAATCGTCATCTGACATCTAGACATTGGTATCGTAGACAAAAGGAACAATTGAACGACTTGACCGCGATCTCGCGTTCAAGCGCACAATGCCCGTCGAAATTCTCGCGCGTAAGAACGCGAAGTAAAGAACATTTTCTCCGATTATATCGTCGCTCTCTCGGGAATAAGTGAACTCGGGCCGCGGGCAGTGCGCGATCCGTCCCTGTTTCGTGTGGACGACGAGGAGGCGCGAGGGGCCAACAGCCGGCGGCTGAATTTCCGAGATGGTTTCTGCCGATCCGGGCTTAATTTGTAGCACGTTCTTGCGACCAGGGGCGACGAGGTCCATTCGATCCTCGTCTCGTGGCGTTAGCCGGGTTAGTTAGCGCGACTCAAGGCGACTGCTGATGCCCGCCGCTTCTTGCCGCGCGGCCCATTTTTGCCGCTAAAACATCGTCCCTAATTAATCTACTCGGTCCCTCCCGGGAGCGCAGCGGAGCGCTTGCACCAGCGCTAATATGGACGAACGGTGACAATGGCCAGAAGCGAGCCCGGGGAATCCGCCGAATTCGACGGCGTGGCGAGCGATCGGCAAGAAAAAGCCGCTGCCGACGCTTAACACCATCCAAAAGGACTACGCCGACGATGAAGGCCGGCCGGTGTCCGGCCGTAATGGCTATTTGTGCGTGCGGGACCGAAAACGTATGAGGCGTACTTAACGTCTCACTCGGATGTACAGCGCACTTATTCCGAGAGAAAGCCGAGCGACGTTCGAGCTGACGCTCCAACGGCGAACGGACGAGAAAAGTGAGACAATTAAAGCAAAAGTGCCAATTTTCGGATCCATTCTTGCTGGCCTTTTTGCTCTTTCAATACAAATATTTGAACTTTCTCTCTCAACATAAAAAAACATATGTATATACATATATTGAATATATACATATATTCTATTTAAACGTTTAAATATTCGTGTTCAAAGACTAAAACAGTACATTGAAAAAAAAGTTTGGTAATACTTACCAAATGCGTTTTATCATACTATTTGGTAAATAGTAACCAATATAGTAAATGTTACCAAACGTTTGGTAATAATTACAAAATTGTTAGTAACATTAACTTTCATATAGTAACATTTACTTCTTATATTTAGTTGATACTATTTTACTAAATATAATAACTATAACACAGGTTGGATAATTATTATCAGAAATTTTTCTCAGTGTAAGAATGTCCAGGATTAGGCGCGTGTTTCGGACATTGGTACTTTTACTTTGTCGAATCAAAATTTTTGCCCTATTTTCGACCTTTCCAACATTCCGATCTTTCGAACTTTCCAACATTTGTGTTCTGAAGAGTTAGTATATGTGTTTAATAAACAAGAAAATTGAATTCTTATTTAGTATCTCCAAGTGACAGAAAAATATCATAGTGTACTTTTCGTACTTAGTAGGTTAAATAGAAGCACGAATCTTTATATACGAAAATTAAGTCCCTTGCTTTTGCGAGTGTCCGTCACGGACCGACGATATCTCGGTCGCGAAAAGGAATAGTCGACCATGATAATCGAGGGATTCAATGTGGAATCCGCCGAATTCGCCGGTGGCCGTTCTCCGAGCGGGAGAAAAAGACGCTCGACGCCGCAGCGACGATGACGCTGTTGCAACGGCAGGAGGAAAGGGAGGAAGGGCGAAGTCCGCTAATGGGAATTTGCGAGACGGCCGTGACGCTCTCCGAAAACGTACGGGATGCACTTAACGTCTCACTCGAATGTCAGCGCGACTCAAAAACCGCGCGCCGATGGGGAACTGGTTCGCAGGTGGCATCGTAAGTTCAAGCTAGCCGAGGTAACAGTCCTGAAAGGGCGGGCGGGGACGCGCGGTTAATTGGGATAAT